TGACCTCAACCCCACTGAACACCACTGGGATGAACTGGAATGCTGATGTGGCCCAGGCCTTTTCACCCAACTTCAGCACCTGACCTCATTAATACTCTTGTGGCTGAATGGCACTAGGTTAATGAGCGGAAGGTCTTGAGTTCAAACCCCAGCATCTCCAAGCTACCACTGCCGAGCAAGGCCCTTAACCCTCAGTTGTAATTCGCTTTGGATAAAAACGTCAGCCAAATGAGATAAACGCAAATGCAATAGCATTTTTCTACCAGAGAGAGATTATAAACTCTTAATCCCCAAATCTTACATCCAAACTCATTAAATAAAACACAGTGAACACAGAAGATTTTAAAAAAAATTTTTAACTGTGGCACTATTGTTTTGCTGACACTGTATTAGCAAGCATAAATAGTGTGATGCACACTGTCATCATTCATCTTCAGTAACTACTTTATTCATGGTCAGGGTCGTGGTGGAACCAGAGCCTATCCCAAGAACATTGGGCGTGACGCCTGAATGCACTCTGAATGGGATTCCAGTCCATCTCGGCTCGGGGCGCACACACACAGACACACACACACACACACTCATTCATACCTAGAGGCAATTTAACATAACCAAACCACCTGCCATGTTTTAGACAGTGGGAGGAAGAACATGAACACAGAAAGTAACCCAAGATCAGGATCAAATCAGGGACCATGGAGCTGGGAGGCAGAATTTGTATCCACTGCACCCCCATCCTGCACACTGTGGATTGTGAAAATGTCTTCATGTACTGTAATAAGCAATTTTTGACAAAACCACTATAGCACTTTCTATATTGTTTTACACTGACTATGGCATTTACCTGTCCCCTTAACACACACACATACATGCACATACATTTACTTTTACTGTGTTTATCTGTTGATAAAATTACTGAAACAATTACAAGAAGTGACTAATTGAATAAAAAATGATCAAATGAAGCTTAATCAGCTTTATTACCTTTCAATCCATGGTAGCCACATCCCAAAGCAACATGGGTGCAGCACCATCACTGAAGAGAATTATACTACTCATTGAGAGAAGCAGATACAGGTATACTGTCTCACACACACATATATACAGTACACACACATACACACACATACACACACTCAGATCTCCTGAAGAATGTCTGCAGGGAAAAAGCCCAGCTTGCGCCCGGTGCTGACCTTCATATAGCCATTGACCTCCTCTCCCTTCTTCACCACAATCTGCACAAGGTAGAATGGTTTCAGCATTAACAATGAAACACATACAGACACTAACCAGGTCACTGACCATTCCTGATAGGGCTAGTTGGTGTGCCTTGCAAAACGGCAATGTAAGAGGAAATGTAAGGCTGCATGCTGCCTTAGCTGAGCATTTCTTTGAAAACATTACATAACTCATTAGTAATTTGGGTGTACACATGACGTATGTGTGAGAGAATTCCAACCTGGTCTTTTTTCAGTGTGATTTGGCCCATCTCGCGATTCCCCACAAAGGAGCGTGTCACCTTGTACACACTCTCCCCTGAGCGCACACGGATGATGTAGTTTGCCGGGAAGAATCCGGATTTCTCTCCAATTCTACCCTGCAACAGACACACCACCATGCTGCATATATAACTGCATTTTATAATCAATCATAATTAGGGGTATAATGATACACTCTAGTCATGATTCAATTCAATTTATGATACTGGCTTCATGATTCATGATTCAATTCAATTCTCAGAATATTTTGAACAAAATTTTGATGAAGAAAAATTATCAATGAAAATACCCCTTTTTATTTCTATATAATAAACAATGCAAAACAATGTGCATTTTTGTCAGTATACAACTAAATACAACTACAAACAGAGGTTGTGTATTGTAAACAAAATGTACTACAGGTTCACTATATCTTAAATAAGTAAATAAATAAATTTATAAATTCTCCCACAATTTTGATTGAAACATAATGAGCTCCGTAGCAGTGCCTGAGGCATAATTTTAACCAGAAATAGAGCTCCAAATTTGGCTAAAATGCCCGAGTTCAGCGGACTCTTTCTCGGGCACGGGCTCAGGGATGGTGTTGTTTGAAAGCTACTGAAGGGCTCTTTTTAACTGTAATAACTTGGTCATGTAATCATATAACCTATAATGCATGACAACCATTGCAATCTGGAGCCATCAGCCAGCGTGCTTTCTATATATTTTATGGGCTGTGCAGATTGGGACCTCTGGTGTTCAAAAAGTTCAACTGAATGCTGATATACACTATGTGAATCATACATTCCCACAATGCACGTCATCAAATTTTTGCATCGCGATGCATCGTGTCACCATATATTGTTACACCCCTAATCATAATAGTAGTTCTTAGATAGGCAATGGATTCCAAAACAGGATTACTGCATTACTGTGCCCTAAAGGCTTTAAATATAGAACATTAATCTATATTTTCTGTACAACCAGTAAGGAATAAAACTCAACAGAGTGTGCTGTTATAGGAAAATAATCGATGATGGGGTGAGGTAATGTGGCCTGACATGAAGCAGAAGGACATTACCACCCTGAAGGTGATTATTTTCCAATGTCAGCATGCCCCAATATGAGTTATTCTTTTTGTACCACAGAAACAATAACATTAGAGTGAGCACATTAACATAAATCTTTGATTTGACCTCCTGTTACAGAAAATGTCTCAACAACATCTGAGAATCGAGAATTCAACAGGGCCATGGTATAATATTTCACATTAAATAATTAAATACTTACTCGCCACCACTCCTCACTGGAATCATCTATCACTGTAACATGATCTCCAGGACTGAAACACGCACAGACAATCAAGGATAAACATTGTTACTGATCAAAGACAGACATAAACACATTAACACACAGCAGACTCAATGACAATATTAAATATGGGGGAGAGAATAAAACATCAAAACAGGATTGATATTGAGCATTAGATTCTAGCCTGGTCTGGATTTTCACTTACTGCAGGTCCAAGTCATCTTTTTCAATGGCTTTAAAACAATACAGGGCCAAGTAGTAGTGTGACTGGGAGAAGACTCCAAGTTTACCCGGCTGAGGCTTCTTCATCTGTAACACACCATAACACAGAGAAATCTGAATTTATGTCCACTTATGGGATCCTAAATCCACAAATGTCATCAAGCCAGGCAATATAAAGCTGCCCATAAGCAGTTGTATAATACAAAACATTCCAAATAGTTGTCATCATCATAATGAGCACTAAGCCGTAGTCTCTGACCTTATCATCTGTGGTTTTGTCCTTCTTTTCCATCTCTTGGGTCCCTGGGCAGAGTTGTTGGTGTTGTTACACTTATTACACACACATGTACCCGCACTTACTTACTTGCACACATAAATAATCTTTTTATTTAAACATTTGTATCAAATTACAATCTGTAAGCATTACTCACGGTTCTCTCCTTCCCCTTCCTCGGCTTTAGGTTGGGATTCCTCTTCTTCCATCATCATCATCTAGGACAGTAGAAAAGTTCACCAGTGTATACAGTAGTGTTGCATATAAAATGCAAACACTTCTTCTCTGTCTCTCACTTTATTGGTCACCTTACATTTTTCTTCTGATCTTCTGATCTTTTCTTCCTTTCCTTGTTGGCCATGATAACCCCGATACGCAGCGTCTCAAAGACCGGGTCAGTGCGGTTAGACTGTGCTGTAAAGAAAGTTTTAAAAAAAATAAATAAAAATACAACAACATTATCAGTTCTATATGACATCCAGACTGGCTTTAGGTGAGAGTAATGAAGACTGTTTGAGACTTGAAAAGGTAAACCACTTACAGAACGGAAGCAGCTCTTTAACCGTGGCATTCTGCTGACTGCTGTAGAGAGGAGAGCTGTAGGCCCGTCTAAAACCTGGAGGCTGAGAGAGAGAGAGAGAGAGAGAGAGAGAGAGGAAACGTACAGAAAAAGTTCATTTATTATTAAATTTACTCTATATGAAACAAGCATACAAGCATATTATTACTACTCACAATTTTCCCAAAGCACTGCTGGAACTCGACATAGCTCTGACACTGATGATGAATATTGGTCTTGCAGTTTTTACACCTCAGTGCAAATTTATTGTTAACTGCAAACAGAAAATGGTGAGTAAACATCTCTGAGCCGAAACACGACAGCAACATCGTGTTGGTTCATAGCCAGCACACTTACGAACAATCATGCGTGCACACACATCACAGAATTTGAGCTTCTTGCAATAGTGATCTTTAAACTTGTGTGGTTTATCATTGATGGGTTTAACTGGTTCAGGAGGGGGAGGCTTCTCTTTCTCTTCTTCCTCTATCTCTTCATCGTAGATAAAGTAGACCTGAGAGAACGAATCACACAGAGGTGTGACATCTCCAGTACTGTGATGAAAACCCACTGCCACACATGCACCATTCTGTGTTAACACTTCTCTATTATTGGACACAATCTGTTTCGATGTCTTATGGGAGAAGAAGAAATAACAGAAGAGAAAAAACATCATGGTGTGAACATGGATGGCTCATTCAAAGCAGAAATGCAACAAGTCCAGACCTCTGGTACTACTTGTAGTGTGAACTTAGATATTTCTTCAACCATTATAACTGCTTGCTTTTTTCCCCTCATCCGACACTTTTTATCTGACAACTTCTTAATATCAAAAAGACAAAAAAGATATTTACATAAAAATACACATCACAGTCCATATACAAGTATTTGAATTTAAAATTTATTTCTTTATATTCAAATATTGCTTTATTCAAATTTCAAGTTTCGAAATTTATTGAGAACAGTGTTTCTCAAAGTGAAGCACAGCCATCCATGATTTTTAAATTTTAGTTACAGCAGTGCGAATCAAAACCAACTATTATTAAAGTTATTGTATGTATAATTGAGATATAACTGAGAGTTATTTGCATGTTAGACTGGTCATGTTTAATTAAACCCATTTAAATAAATGGGTTTAATCTAACCCTCAGTAAGGTCCCTGGGGGACTAGTGGTTAGAACTCGGCGCTCTCACCCCTGTAGCCTGGGTTCGATTCCCGGCCACGGAACCAACCTCAGCCACTGGGGTTGCATACAACGTTGCACTCTGGTGCCGGTCCAAAGCCCAGATAAAATTGGGGAGGGCTGTGTCAGGAAGGTTGTAATAAGTAGACAAAATCTTACTGTACACATTTAAATAATGCTCATGAAATAAAACTGTTCTGAGGGGGTCCATGCAATGTATTTTACTGTTAAAGGGGTCCCTGGTTACAAAAAATTAGAGAACCCTTGATATAGAACGCTCAAAATAAACCTGAAATGTTTCCGATTTGGCCAGTCCCTGTCACGAATAACATGCAAAGAATCTCCAATCTATTGAGACCCTCCAATTCAAGAAGGCCCTGTTGCTGCCTGTGATCTGTTTTCACCTCCCGAGAATGCTGTCCAGCACCTGACTTGGCCTTTCTTTCACAGCAGAACTCCCACACATGGGTATCTAGAAATAACTCTGACAGGGACTGATATCAGTCTAAGCAGGGATTGCAGGAATGGGGTTTGATTTTGCTCCTAAATATATTTCAAAGTAAAGACAGACACAACCAACTGCTGATACAGGGATATCAAGCTATCTAGGAAAGAAGCAAATACCTTTTTTTCACAGTGATTTAAATATGCCCATGCTGCAGATCACAGAAGTAAAACCAGCCATCACAGCTGAGACCTGAACCTACTGTGTTGTTATCCTCCTTCACTATGTTGTCAGGAACAGGAGGATTGTCATGGAGGTCCAGGGAGTCCTTGTCATCCAATCTGTGGGCAGCAAAAAGCTGAGGTGCAGTGATTTATGTGAAAGGATACTATAGTGTATGTGGTGAAGTTTACTACTGATGTGTGATCTCTGGTGATCTAAGACCTGGCTTTAAAAACATGGTCACATGAACTCAAATCTTTCATCAGCGCAACCCATCTACTGTGTTTGTGTGTATATATATATATACATATACAGTTGAGGTCAAAAGTTTACATACCCCTTTCAGAATCTGCAAAATGTTTATTATTTTACCAAAATAAGAAGGATCATACAAAATGCATGTTATTGTTTATTTAGTGCTGACCTGAATAAGATATTTCACATAAAAGATGTTTACATATAGTCCACAAGAGAAAATAATAGTTGAATTTATAAAATTGACCCCGTTCA